TGTGTGTGTGTGTGTGTGTGTGTGTGTGTGTGTGTGTGTGTGTGTGTATGCACAGTGTGTCGAGGTCTGTAACTGGTTTCGCTCCTGGTCTGGGTCCAGGCACCTGAAGGATGGAGGGCTGTGGTGAACAGTAAAGAGATAAGACGATGGGATGTGAAGTGATCAAGAAGGATGTTGGAAATTGGATATTGGAGAGAAGTCTCAATTTGGTGTGTGACTACTGTGTCTTTGGGAGTTAGAAATGTGTGTGTGTGTGTGTGTGTGTGTGTGTGTGTGTGTGTGTGTGTGTGTGTGTGTGTGTGTGTGTGTGTGTGTGTGTTGGTGTGTAAGACACAGACAGAGAGAACAGAATGTAACAATAATGAAATGTTGTTGCTCCATAAATGCCACATCAATGTTTTTGTCTTTTACTCTGCAGGCATTCAGATGCCCATTGCTCTGTGAAAGCCTCCGTTTCGAAGCAAATTCACCGGTTGAATTGCAAGTGTTTGCGTGTGAGCTGCATTATGATGTACTGTTCTGATCCAGAAGAACATTTGTGCTTCAACAGAAGATCCACAATCAGTAGTTTTAATTGTCACTCAGACTGCCAGCTGATTGAGACTGATGCTTCTTGTCAGGCTCTGACGTTCATTCCCAATTATTTCCTAATACAGAGCACATATTGTGCTTTTAGGACCTAGCTCAACATTGTTGGTAAACAAGGCAGCTCTAATATGCCTGTGTGCTCATCACTGAAGATAATGCAATCTAGAATTACACAGCAGGGGAAAAAGATGCTCCCTGCGCCAGATTCACTGATTGGCTCGCGACAAACATGAATCGCTCTGTTGGTTTTTCCTTTCAAAGAGGAGGCCGAGTGGCAACAGGTAAACGAGAGGAGCGTCATCTCTGTTTGGTCAGTTTGGCTCAGGGCTGCGTTAAGTCACGGATGATTGATTGAAAAGCTGTTTAATAAGGCTGACACCGAATCACTGGCTTGTTTCTATAGGTCTTCCCATCACCGCCACCCCCCCCAAAAAAACCAGAGCGGTGGGTTACAGTAGTGACATGAAATTGACCCCATGAGAGTAAACAGGGAGCTGGTGCAAGAGGATGATGAAGTTGTTTTTTGACACGGTTCTCTGCTTGACTCATTCTTTGTTAGATAAAACAAATTGACGCAGTTTCCAACATAAAATTGTTACATGTTTAATGTTTAATTGAGTGTTGGCTTGTGCCTTTTAGTAGCAAGATGCCGCCATTTTAACCCTCTAATCATGGAAATGCATGAATCATTGTGTGTGTTTGCAAGAGCCACAGAAGTTTCCAGAGAGAACTGTCCACATTGTGTATTATGCTGAGTAACTAACCTGTAGCAGGCCCCTGATCAATAAACTTCTCAACTGCATTGTCAAGTTTTTTTTTTCAATTTTTCTTTTACTTTAATTTAATTTATTTCATTATTTATATATTTTCCTTTTATATGATTTTTTTTCTTTATTTAATTTATGTATATATATATATATATATATATATATATATAGATAAATCCTTTTTTAAATTTAATATTTATTTAATGCAGGTAATGCATGCTGCTGTTGTGCAGGGGTTGGGTGCACTTGAAAGGTGGGTGGGGAAAAGGAAAGATTGGGGACCTGTCACATTTGGTACTGGGATCATGTGACGGGAATTTTTCAATGTTTCACATTTTATAGACCAAATCACTCATTTAAAAAAAAGAACAGATTAGCTCTTCTTTTAGCGCCACAAATGACATTTTATTCTCACTCTTATGTCAGGTGGAAGCATAAACTTCAGAGACGTCTCTATCCAAACATCAGCAGATAAAACTGTAATCTTCACGACCAAATACCACCAAGGATTAAGTGAGATAATCCGTGACCCTTTTATGTTCCTCCAGGATTAATGGGATGAAATTGACTTTCTTTTCCAGCAGCGCATTTGTATTCAGTGCAGCTTTGTTGGGCTCAGAGTTTAAACTTTTACGGTGTTTGTGTTTGCCGAATTAGGTCATTTTGCCCTTATTGTGTCCTGTGTCTGCAGATCATGTGGTGTGTGAAGAAGAGTTTAAATACGCCATGCTGGCTTTAAACTGTGTGTGCCCCGGTACCTCGACACTCATCACTCTATTGATCCACTCCTCCAGAGGACAGTAAGTTCACTTTCCTTCTCTCTCCCGGTCCCTCTTTCCATTTGATTGTTCACTGTTCAGTCTTGACAGTGAAATGTACAGTAGATATAGTGAATAGAAGTGAGCTGCTTCTATTCTCCTCACCATCACTCAACTTCTTTTCCCCAGAACGGCACCGCAAGAGGCCTTCAAGCAACGTGTAGGAGCCTTTCAAGCCCTCAACAGGTATAGGATTCATCTGATCTGCATTCACACCCCAGGAATACTGTAGTGTGTTTGTGCTCGATATTCATCCAACTCCTCTGTCAACCTCCATTGTTTGCACACTGAGCTGTGTGAGTTTATGAGGACATTTTGTTAAAGGAGCGGAATCTTGTTATTTAGAAACTGCGTTTGTTTTTTTGCTTGTTAGATTCAGTTTATCGCTGAAAACAGGAGTGACTATGAAAAGCACCCGAGCGTTGTCCGATGCACAAGATACTTTCTACTTTTTATCATTAGGGCATTAAAGCAGAACTAGACCAGTTGTGTTACTGATGACAGTAAATGTGCTTTGTTAGATACCCTGATGAAGACCTACTGTGGTCAAATCATGATGCTTCTTTTAATGATTTAGCCACTATAACAGAGGTGTTTTAATATTTCCTTTCTTGGTTTCTCAAAGATGTTGGAGAGCCTGAATAGCCTTCATGTTTATTTACATTTTTTTCCCCGTTTTCCAAGACACGGTTTAATCTGCGGTTGATTACACGGAGCCACCAGTTCTCTCTCTCTCTCTCTCTCTCTCTCTCTCTCTCTCTCTCTCTCTCTCCTAAAATGTTTTTTTTCTGTAACCTTTCATTGCGTTACATTTGATTGATTTTTATGTGACTGTCATCTTAAAGCCCCAATTTGTGACCCTAACGTTAACAATAGGGTATCCATACAAACGTATTAAAAGGCAAAAAGCACAGAAATGTCACACAGCGATTGTCAACAAAGAAATAAGACAAAGAAATAATAAGACTCTATAGCTTGTGTCTGATGAGTGCAACATTTAAAAGCAGGGTGTTTCATAAGTACGTTTCTATATCTGGATGTGATACCATTTGGTTTATTGGCCGTGACGATGCTACATGATTTGTCCTCCTCCTCTCTTGCCTTACACTTAGTTCCTGTAAACTGCTAATTTGCTACAACACTCTTTTATATAATGCAGTCTTTGTCGCAGGCCACCCACATTCACACTGCCTCCACACCCTTGCTTCAAGCATCACATCTTTAGCCTCCGTGTCTAGAGCCATATCCCCCAGAGAAAAATGCTGTCCACTTAGCTGTGTGAGTGTGTACACCTGGGACCTATTGTTAGGACAGGCTGTGTGTCCTTGTGTACGTCCGTGTGCCGATTGAAGGATCGATTAGCAAGTCTGTGACAGAGATGTAAGATGGTAACTCTGAAACCTTGAGTGGAAAAACTTTGAGTGTGGCCCTGGTGCTTAGCTGGAAGCTTTGTGTCCTGTTTTCTAAAGGTCAGTCTTTCCCCACATGGCCAATGAATCCTGCTTTTTCTGTCTCAGGGAGGGCGGTGGATGTTCAGCAGACCAATGGCACCGAACCTACCGGCGCTGCTCGGCCAATGAGGTGCATCACATCCGCCTGGAGGAAAGTAAATTCTTCGGGGAATACCAGGGCAAGAGCTTCACCTTTGCCTCCTTTCATGCTCACAAAAAGTAAGTCGTAATATGAACAGGGCAAGAAGTGAGAAGCTGCACTGTTCAGAGCTGACCCTGTCTTTGCTGCTGCAGGTATGGAGTATGTTTGATTGGAGTGCGCAGATTGGACACCACCAACATCCTGCTGAACCCTGGACCCTGCCACATCATGGGGGCCTCTGACACGTGCTTTTACATCAATATCTCCAAAGAGGAGAACTCAGCATTTGTCAGGGGCCACAAGGAGCCATCGTGGGGCAGCACGGGGGGCAATACCAGGGGAGTGCACCAAACGATCTACCATGGACTCACCCGCCTGCCAGTCCACAGTATCATCGCCAGCATGGGTCAGTCAGATATGCACATCACAAAGACTGTGTAACATTCCCGCACTGACCTTCTGTTTGCAGTTTCTGTGTTGGTTGAACATGCAAAACAGAAGCACCGTCAGAGCTGTCACAATTATGCAGATCTCACATTTGACACGAATCTGGGTGTTTAAAAAAAATATGCATAGCTTTTCCGAGGAATTATCATGTATCTGATTATAAGTCACACTTGATAAGAGCATCTGCCAAATGAACTGAAATGTTGCACACTGTGGTTTTACAAACACACCACCTGGTGGACAACAGTGAAACGGTGCAGCTCAGTATTTTTCAATTTCATCAGTACAGTATGTATTATCAGGGGGCAGTGCAAACCCACTGTGCATCGTGTTTGAACCTTTAGCTTGATGATCACCGTGGCTGTGTGTGCATGTTACAGGCACAGTGGCCATCGACCTGCAGGACTCCAGTGACAGCAGCCCGGAGGGCCAGGAGCCGGGGAGCACTGTGCTAAGCAGCGGAAGAGGAAGCAGGAGCAGCTCCAGGACGGAGATGGGTGGCGCCAACACTTTGGCCCTGCCTGCCATGGGTGAGTCCGCCGAGGAGAGGCGGCACAGCATCGCCCCTGTCCTGGAGCTGGTGGACGGCGTAAACAACCCCACCTTTGACCTGCTCGGAGACCAGTCAGAGGATGAGGGGGGAGACGAGGGCAAGGAGGACAGCGACAGAGACGAGAGCGCCCATTGGTGGGGTCGACACTGCGAGTGAGTCACGAGGATGCTGTTTGAATTCTCATTCATGGGTATAATGAAGTGTAAACTTGTTCAGAGGTAACTGCGGCCTTGTGCTACAGGTGGGTGAAGGGATACCCGCTGAACTCTCCATACATCGGCAGCTCGCCTGCGCTGTGCCACCTTCTTCAAGAAAAGATGCCTTTCTGCTGCCTGCGCATGGACAAAGTAAGGGATTCAAATGGCTTGCTATGACATCACAACTTCACATCGCTGTCATCCTCCATGACCACTGTGCATCTCTCCTAGGCTTGTCACCACACCCTTTTTGAGGATGCCCGCTCCTACGGCTTCAAAAACAAATTGATCATTGTGTCCGCGGAGAGTGCAGGAAACGGCCTGTACAATTTCATTGTCCCTCTCCGGGCCTACTACCGACCCAGGAAGGAGCTCAATCCCATCGTGTTGCTGCTGGAGAGCATGTGAGAACACATTATTTGGCCATGCTTATGAAAACGGCTTCAAACTGAAATAGGTTGCACGTTAATGTTGCCCAAAATGTTTGCTGTGAGCACAACAGCTACGCTACAAATCTGGTTTGCGCAGTAAAATAGATTCCTTCTTTAAATGTAGCCAGCGGAGGAGAGAAACGGTGCTATTTAAGGTCACCGTAAACATGATTTGTGAAATGCTGAACGCTTTCAGGGCGATGCGCACCACAATCCTGCGTTGTGTATTGTGGCTGGTACACAGACGCAGTCAGCCAAATGAGAGTGGAATTCAATAAAAAGGCAATAAAATGCCGAGTCACTCCAGTGTAGTGCTGTTATTTTCAGCTTTCTCTGCAGGCAGTTTGGCTGTGTTGTATTTCTCAGTCTCTGTGGGGACGTTCACTCTTCATCATGGAAAATATAATTCTCCACTGGTCGGAATCTCAAGTATATTTGTTGGTTGATTGTTTCAGACCTGAAGCAGACTTCCTGGAGGCAATCTGTTGGTTCCCCATGGTGTTCTACACAGTGGGCTCCATCGACAAGTAAGAAGTAACAAGTCCACGCTGATTTCTTCATGTATCTTTTTCATCTTCTAGTATTTCCTGAATCTTTATTAATGTAAACCTCTCAGATGACTTACTCTTTGATTTATTCGCACTGCCCTTCAACACTAATCTTACCCCCCCCCCCCTTCTCTCTCAGTCTGGACAGTTTGCTGCGATGTGGAGTCACTTTCGCCGACACCATGGTGGTGGTTGACAAAGAGAGCTCCATGATCGCAGAGGAGGACTACATGGCTGACGCGAAGACCATCGTCAATGTCCAGACCCTCTTCAGGTCTGCTTTGCCCAAACTTGCTCTGCAATATCTCACACACTATCTTAAACTGAGTATTTTTTTATTTTTTTTCTTCATCTCAGACTTTTCCCAGCTCTTAGTATCATCACGGAGCTCACCCACCCAGCCAACATGCGCTTTATGCAGTTCAAAGTCAAAGACCACTACTCTCTGGCTCTGTCCAAACTGGAAAAGGTAAAAGCTTCACACTCTCAAACCCCCCCCTCTTTTTCAATCTCTCATTGTCCTCAACCCTCATAATGACAAAAAACAATGACGGCAGACTGTTTTTCATCATGAAAGCCATCTTTTATTTAGTATTCTCAGTGATATTAGAAATGCATCCACTGTAAAGTGTTGCAGTGAACATTTGTAACTGATTATAGCCTCTTGTGTTGTTAATGCTGCTCTCTGTGTGGCAGCTTATGAGTTCTCCCCTCGGCCATCAATAACATTTATTCACAAATAAGTAAATTTGTCACTCTTGACATTACATATTAAAATTAATTTAAATCTGGGATTAACATAACATAGACATTTCTAGCAGTGTTGCCTCACAGCAGGAAGGACTTCTGGCTAGCTTGTTCTTTGTTTGGGCAATGCATGTGTGTGTTTTCTTGTGAAGCTAACTCCTGAAGCTGTAGAGATGTTGCGTTGCATTCGGTCCAATGAATGCTGAATAGATGCTTGAAAATAAATAAGAAAGAAAAGAAAAAGTTTTATGGGTGTAGGTCCAACGATGATGTTTACAAAAACTTTCATTACTACTTTTCATGTCTACCAAGACTAGTGTAATCAGGAAAAAATGTGTGTGCGTGTGTTTGTGTGTGTGTGTGTGTGTGTGTGTGTGTGTTTGATCTGCAGAAGGAAAGGGAGAAGGGATCCAACCTGGTGTTTATGTTCCGCCTGCCCTTCTCTGCAGGGAAGGTGTTCAGTGTCAGCATGCTGGACACTCTCCTCTACCAGGTATCTGGAGCACAAACTCTTCACCCTCACTGAAAAAAACAAAATGTGGCAAAATGCCAAATATGGTCTGTTTCTGTTGACTTGTATACCGTGCTCTCCTGCCAGTCATTTGTGAAGGACTACATGATATCCATCACCAGGCTGCTGCTGGGTTTAGACTCCATGCCTGGCTCAGGTTTCCTTTGTGCTGTGAGTACCCCGACACAAAAAGCTTGAATTCAGACTGTTTGGACTGTGAAGTGGCTCCAAAGGCTGATTATTGTGTTTTCCCAGATGAAAATCACAGAGGATGACTTGTGGATCCGCACCTACGGCAGGCTCTACCAGAAGCTGTGCTCCTCCACCGGAGACATCCCCATCGGCATCTATCGGACGGAGGCACATAAGCTTCCCGTCTCTGAGGTGTGCTGCTGCTGTTACTAGTTTGATGGCCACTTTAATTAACAAGCTTCCACCCTAAAGCCCTGCTAGTGGCTCCTAGAGGCCGTAATGTTCATTACATCCAACAATAAAATAAGAGTTGGAGGAATAAATGAAACACTGATGATATTTAAAGAGAGAAATTAAATATAATAGATAACCAGATATTATTCATTGAGCTACTTTTTAAAAACGTCCTCTATTTTCTGAAGAGTTTCTTGAATGTTAAAACTCTCACTCTTTTGCTTTCAGTTACTACAATGTCACTATTTCTATCATTAGTTACAAAAAGGTATAAATACAATTAAGATTTATTTAAGTAGATCTATCCAAATGCTGATTCAATTTGTAAGTGAATGCAGAGTTGTGGAGACACAATCAGATATGAAGACAGTCAGATGATCTTAGTTTTTGACTTGTGTATTCATCCCGTGAGATATAAAGTAACAAAAAAAACATTCTTGCATAGTTCAGTTGCTTAGTCTTAATTGTTTCAAGAAAAACTGGGGCCGTGGCGGATATGTCGGTTACACAAAAGATGCTTAAGAATGTTTTATTACTCATTATATGCAACAGAGTGTATCTCGGTCATCATTCATTTAAAGAAGGATAGGAAAGTATTAATTCCTCTTCTTTAAGAGAAATCAGAGACATCACTGGTGAAGAACTGACTCATTAAAATCTGTGTGGGTTGGAAGGAGATTAAAAGCGTGTGTGTATGTGAATATGTGTGTGTGTGTGTGTGTGTATGTTACAGTCCCAGGTATCCATCACAGTGGAGGACTACGAGGACACCAGAGAACCCAGGGAGCCCCTGCTGTCCCGCACCAGTGCTCACCGTAACAGCACCTCCTCGGAGCCCATCTCCACCTCCTCCCACTCGTCAGACCACCCGCTGCTCCGGAGGAAAAGCATGCAGTGGGCACGGCGGCTGAGCAGGAAGGGGGGGCGGGGCTCCAGCGGGGCCAAGGGGGGTCCGGGCAGTGCTGCAGAGAGGATCAACCAGCAGAGACTGACCCTGTTCAGACGCTCTGAGAGGCAGGAACTCAACGCGCTGGTGAAAACCAGGATGAAACACTTGGGCCTTTCTCCAACTGGATTCAGTACGTCCATATGTAGTTTGTTTATGAAAGTATGCTTCTCTTAATCTCAAGTTTACTCGTGGTTGAATGCAACTACATTTACTCATGTACTGTACTCGGGTACAATTTTGATCTACATTTGTATTTGAGTATTTCCATTGTATGCTACTTAATACTTCTACGTTTCAGAAGTACACATTGTGATTTTACACCTTTACATTCATTTGATAGCTATAGTTATTATTTACTTTACAAATGACGATTGACATGAATTAAAAAAATGATAAGCTTATGAAATACAATGCACTGTTGAAGCTTAATCCAGGGTTCCCCAAATTGTTTAGCTTGTGACACCTTACAGTAGTTAACACTCGCTCCACCTCAACCAGCTACAACATGCACAATAATACATGTTATTTATACTTACATGTCACCTTTTTGAATCAGCAATACTTCTGATACTTGAGGTATACTTTGCTAGTAATACTTACTGTACTGTCATTTTACTGTCCTCTCACTGTACTTTTAAATAATTAGGATTTTGAATGCTGTATTTTGTCCTGTATTAACGTATTTTTGCATTGCTGTATTGCTACTTTTACTTAGGATAGGATCTGAGTACTTCTTCCACCTCTGTTGTTGTCGTTGTTGCTTGCGTCCATTTTTATCTAAGTTTGTCTTCCTGTACTGTGAATCACAGTAACGAAGCCTCTATGATGTGAACGGATGTTGCACAGCCGGCTGTATATCCTGTGCCTATTTTAATTCCTGCATCACTCGCCTCTTTTCTTCCTGCGCCAGATGGGATGACAGACCAAGGGAACAGACTGTCTTATATCCTCATCAACCCTTCTCCAGACACCAGACTAGAGCTGCACGATGTCGTGTGAGTACACAACGCCAAATGTAATTGATAGCACTGTAAAATGAACACGGCATGAAAACTATTACAGGATTTGCCGCCCCTGTCTGTGCCCCATCTGCAGGTACCTGATCAGGCCAGACCCCCTCTCTCTGGTACCCAATCAGGGTAGCAGCAGGAAGTGCAGCGCAGGGATCTCGGAGAGTCACAGATTCGATACACAGGACAGCACCCATCTGTGAGAGACAAAACAAATAGACAAATATACTGTCAGAACACTGCCAGCGAGACAATAACAGACTCAAAAATCAAGAAATGGTGAGATGGAAAGGGATGCAGCCAGGTGGCACATGGCCCTCATATTTCCTCCACATTCAGTCAGGGTGAACCGATAGGTGCCGGTGTTGCATGGACCCTTTCTATAACGATGGGAATGTTTTGTTTATGCACCTTTCTATTTTCAAAGCGGAGAGCTGCGGACACAGAAGTGCATTTAATGAATAACTGTACGTATTTATATCTGTGTATGTGCATGTTATGTACTGCATCATGTATGTGCAGTGTGTGTGTGTGTGTGTGTGTGTGTGTGTGTGTGTGTGTGTGTGTATTGTACGTATGTGCAAGTGTGTGAATGAGTATGTGTATGCTTATGGATCAAGAGCAAGACACTGCCAATTTTATCAGGACAGCGAAAGGACTCGGCTGCCAAATGAAAGTCAAGGAATGTGTATTTTTGTGTCCTTCTCTGTGTCGTAGGTGTGTTTTGTCAGACTTAATGTTGTTTGACGTATTTTAAAGTGACACTACAGTGCACACATCCCTTTTTTTTGTTGGTCTTCATAAAGCCTTTTTTAAAACTTTTTACCGGTTGCTTTCACAGTCAAACGCACACATTAGTTTGTCCCTCACCAGCAGCGGAGGAATCCAAAGAGCACCAGTCTCAATAATTGATAGACGTAGACAGCATGCATCGTCAGGGCAGGGCATTCAGTCTCATTGCTGTCAGAAGTCTGTTACTGTTTCCAGTTATGCGAGTTCTCTCAGGACAAGCCTGTTCTTGAGTTTACTGTTCGCCTGTTGTTGTTTTTTAAAGTCCCGCCCTTTCTGCTTCTGTCAGTCAGTGTGAGCCGTCCCGACACCAGCTTGCTTTTTCTGATATGCATGTTAGAGATGCAAGGGACAGACAAAATAACAGAAACATACACCATGACATCACGCCATCCAATACAATAGCCCTGCAATAAATACTACCTTTGTGAAGCTTATAATGAAATGGTTTCAGAAAGGTTTCGATTCAGCTCTGTTTTAGGGCCGATTTATAAACTTGACAGTTATATAGTTGCTGTATTTATTGCATAATAAATATCCACTTTAACAAGTAATTACTTTGCTAATCAAGAATTTAATTAAAATCTATAATATAATTTGGTTTTCAGGCAGAAAATAAAATCGAATTTCTCTGAAATCAAGTGAAAATGTGTGGGATCATTCTGCTCGTTTATCGGTCTTATTCAATAGATTTTCAGTTGTTTTATGGAACCTGAGATTTTAATCTGTTATATTAAAGTACATTACCTGTTAGGGTGGACATTTATGCTGTTTGTTTACCAAGGATTTGCCAACATCTGAAAAACTTTTGTCGGAAATTCTGAATGTGCTGTTTCACACAGAAACGGGGCAGCCATGTGGTGGGAATGCTAACCTGCGACCCTGCCAACACCACCGCTGTAGCTTTAGTGCCAATATAACAGATGCAAATATGTACAAATTAAAGTCAGCCATTATAGCTTGCCATTGCTTTGTTGCCTTTGTGGTGTCAATTTGTGCAGGTTTATCTCTTGGAACGATTACACTTGTTAGAATCATAATTGTAGTCATACGTAAAACTGTCAAAGTAGTCACATTATTCTATCTTTGATTGTCTGACACAGTAGGTCTTTTGTGGGTTTCGGCAAGTTCACGTTCCTGAGCTATTTTTGCCGCGATACTTGTGTATCACACTAAATGGCTCTAATTCCTTGAGCGTAATGTCCCCATGGCTCACCAAAGACCACACAACACTGCTGCAGAAGATAAGATGAGATAAACCTTTATCTTATCTCGTCGTGTCTGTATTTTTCCTATAGCAGCACAAGGATATAGAAATAACTACAGATAAATAGAGAAAGTACAAAAGTAATAAGAGTTATATCTCTCACACTACTTGAAGACCGTCCAGTTCCAGCCGGACCACAGAGCTGGCCCTCATTACCAGCCTCTGAAGTCTGCCGGACTTGCCACCCCAGCAAAGACCAGTGCTCTGGACGCTTCAGACTGGCAGAAGATCTGTAGGAGCCTGTTGCACGCTGAAAGATCGGAGTCTGCTCTGTCCCTTCCCGAAGACGGCTTGTTGTGTCCAGTCCATTTTTTTTTTTTATTGATTTGGACCTCAAAGTACTTGTATGAATCCGCCCTCTCCACCTTCTTCCCTGGATGATAACTGGAAACAGTGGGCCTCCTGTTCCTCTGGTGCTCAACTACCAGCTCTTTGGTCTTGCTGATATTATGCTTGAGTTGATTTTTGCACCATAGCTCTCTATCAGTCCTCTGCTACTCCTCCTCGTTGTCTTAGGTGAACCGGAATAGTGAAGAGGAACGGCCCCTCAGCAGGCCTGGAGAAGTCGAAGTACTAGACTCTCACAGTGCTTGAGAGGGCCTTGTGGGTCAGGAAGGTGACACCAGCAGTTAGTTGATTCTGCTTGACATGAAACTTCTATACACTGTTGGTGCTTATTTTTTTAGTTGCCTTTTGTTTGCCTCCTTATCTTTCTTTAATTTATGGCAAGGCTGTTGGCTGTTGGATAGTATACACACTCTTTTTGAGATGAGAATGTGGGTGTGGTCAGGTTAACAACCAAATATTAAACGGATGCTTTCTGCAAGAGCTCAGATGAAGAATTACAAACTGAGGAAGGGGAAATGGCAGCTCAAGCAGTCAGCGTGCTTATCACAGGAGCCAACAGAGGCCTGGGCCTGGAAATGGTTAAGCAAATGGTTGAGGCCTCCTGTCCAGTAGGAAAGCTGTTCGCCTGCTGCAGGGAACCAGATGGACCCAGGGCTGAGGTGAGTCTTGTAGTGTTTTTTTTCCCTTCGTTGATGATCAGATTCTTTATTTTGTTTTTAAATTTTTTTTTATTTCTTGGTTTATTTGATAAGGGACAGTGCGCATTCATAAAAACATTGCTGTAAATGCGCCAGAGTTAGCCAAGAGGCTATATTTTTCATCTGTAGTTCCAAGGCAGATGTTACAAAGTCAACCTAAAAACAGAATATAAGTAATAAACATGATAAATAAAGTATAAATTTACAAAGTTATGCAATATATACCCTTTACAAAGCGTGCAGAAAGAATGAAATAAGAATATTAATAGAAGTGGTATCATCATTCAGGAGACTCTTATACTACATTGTCAAGTAAGACATGCAACTCAGAGGCTCTCAAATCAACACATACAAAGCCGATAAAATGAGGGATAACTATATTAAATAGAAACATGGACTACAGACAAGATTATGCTGCATTGTTAGACACTAGAAAACATCCATGTCAGAAGCCCAAAACACAAAAGCATGCAGAGTATGTGAAATATATAAGTCAGTCTGACACAGCTAAACAACAATAAGACGCATTCAAGCAGGTCTTTGACTTTATGACTCATGTTAAAACTCAACACTGCTGGCTCAGTAACTGTTATCTATCTGACTCGTGGTGAGACACCACAGGATCTCACTATGGAACTCAGTAACGAACACCAGCAGAACACAAGCGATTGGATTTTCTTCAGTTCACGCAGATTTATTTGCATCACAAATACAAGTAAACCGAGCTGTCCGGAGTCTACTAACTTCACAATAGCACCGTACATTACTTTATAGCTCCAGTCTGCCCTTCGGAGATGTCCTCCTCCTCCTCTCTGAACTTTCACTTAGACAAGGTACACTGTGTACCTCGGACGTAACAGGGATTTTTGATTAACCACAGGCTGTGTTACTTATTTATCTGCTTCACCCTCCTCCTATCTTCACCCGGGCTCCAAGGCCGCTATAATAGACTCCCTGTCTCTTCCTAATCAACTAGTTAGTGATTCATTAGTCTGTGCATGAGTTTAATTCTGCAGTTGGTAAAGCTGGCGCTAACTTTAAGGACTATTATACAGTTTGATAGCTCAACCTAATATAATACAGTGCATTCAACACCATCCAACCACTGCTGCTGAGTGAGAAGCTGCGGGTGGTGGGGGTTAACGCGTCCACCGTCTCTTGGATCACTGACTACCTCACAGGCAGACCACAGTTTGTCCGACTGGGCCGTGTGCTGTCTGATGTGGTGGTCAGTGATATTGGAGCCCCACAGGGAACTGTTCTGTCTCCCTTCCTGTTCACCTTGTACACCACTGACTTCCAGTACAACTCGGGGTCATGCCATCTGCAGGAGTTCTCTGATGACTCTGCAGTGGTCGGGTGTATAGGGGATGGACGGGGGGAGGAGTACAGGGCAGTAGTGGATGACTTTGTGGAGTGTGCCGGTAGAAAGCACCTGGTTCTGAACGTGGCCAAGACTAGAGAGATGGTGGTGGACTTCAGGAGGAAGACGACGGCTCCACAACTGCTGAGAGTTCTGGGAGAGGATGTGGACATGGTGGAGGAGTACAAGTACCTGGGTGTCTCCATCGACAGCAGACTGAACTGGAAGACCAACATCAACGCTGTGTACAAGAAGGGGATGAGTCGACTCTTCTTCTTGAGGAAACTTCGATCCTTCAACGTGTGCAGCAAGATGTTGGAGATGTTCTACCAGTCTGTTGTGACCAGTCCACTGTACTTCGCCGTAGTCTGCTGGGGGAGCAGCATTGGAGCCGGAGACACCAACAGACTGAACAAACTGGTTAAGAAGGCCGGCTCCATCATTGGCTGCAAACAAGACAATCTGGAACAGGTGGTGGAGAGGAGGACACTGAAGAAACTATTATCCATATTGGATAGCCCGGACCACCCTCTCCACCACCTACGGCAGGGACAGCGGAGCACTTCCTCCAACAGACTGATCCAGCTCCGCTGTCACAAGGACAGACACAGGAGATCATTCCTGCCAACTGCAATGAGACTGTACAATAAATAAACCTCTGGCCAGATCATCCTACACACCGCTACACTGTTGTTGTTTGCTGTTGGTTGATCTTTGCACTACTGTTTAGTTTACCTAGTTAGTTCATTTAATGCTATTCTATTTCATTGTATGTACCGTACATTTTTATTGTTATTTTCTTTTCTTTATATTTAATATGTTCTACTCTGTTATTTTATTGTATAAATTGTGCATTTTTCATATTTCATATTTTATTTTTACTCTGTTACTTTGTTTGCTGAAGTATATCTTTGCTGCTGTAACAAACAAATTTGTGGATGAACTCAGTTTTACAGATCTGCAGATCAAATTGACTAATCGAGCAGTTGACATGTTATTTGACTAAGAATTTCTTTGGTCGAGGACGGCTGAACTTTCCACCGCTGGATAAAAGTGAGTGCAAGTGATCAACAGCGTGTGGGATTCTCTGCTGAATTACAAACTTGTCTTCTCTGTATATTTTAAGGCCTTGCAAACACTGGCAAAGAAGCACCCTGACATCATCGTTGTCGTCCGTCTGGGTACGAGCTCTCTCTTTGTGTTACGTTGTGTTGAACCCTCCGTCCTGCTCCCATGTTGTCCTGGCACGCACTGGCCTCGACTCTATGAATAGCTCGCGGCTCTTGATATTTATCTGACTGTCTGCTATTGATCACCTCTGATGCTCCACTTTCCTTCTCTCTCTGTCAGACGCCACTGACCTTTGTAGCATTAAACTGTGTGCGCAGCAGGTGGGCTCTGTGGTTGGGACGGGGGGTCTCAACCTGCTGATTAACAACGCAGGCATACTGGTTAAAGCCACCGTGCAGGAAACCACTACTGAAGACATGCAGAACACCTTCAACACCAATGTCATTGGCCCTATGAACATCATTAAAGTAAGGGAGAGGAAGATCTGACACACAGAACTCTAACACTGTTCAAGTTTCCTCTTGCTGACTGTCTTGCTGGTGGTCATCATTTAGGAGTTCCTGCCTCACCTTCGTGCAGCAGCGAAGGCCAGTAGGATAACAGGGATGTCCAGCAGCAAAGCAGCCGTCGTCAGCATCTCCTCATTTCTGGGTTCATTGGAAGTTGTAAAACAGTCATATGCCCACTTCCGTGCCGTCCCCTACCGTGTCAGCAAAGTGAGTGACAACCTGTTAACACTGTGACCTGCTACTCAATGGCTTCATCTTACATTTAAGTGCAGCTGTTCACCCATCACCTCAATTGCTTCATCCGTCCCCCCTCTTCTCTCCTCAGGCAGGTTTGCATATGCTGACACTGTGTGCTGCAGAGGAGCTAAAGACGGATGAGATCCTGTTTTCTCTGATACACCCTGGCTGGGTGCGCACTGACATGGGTGGAGAGGAGGTGAGTCAGCAGGAAACAATGTCGAGGAAGCTCTGAATGACACTTTACTTTATCAACTGAGAAGCACAACATTAAAATCACACCATATGATTTCACAGGATCAGATTCATAAAACTTATTCATTTTAAAGATTCATCCTACACAGCACAGGCTTGTTTTATTCATGCGTTTCACTTCTTTAAAGTTCATTTTAAGCCTTTAAAGAAATTTGCAA